CCCAATCAATGTTTTAAAACCATATAAAGTGAAATGTCTTTTTTAAGTCTGAATTTACTGTTTAAAACATTGATTGGGATATATCAAGCAATATATAAAGTGAAATGCCTTTTTAAAGCCTGAATTTACTGTTTTAAAACATCGATTGGAATATCTCAAGCAATATATAAAGTGAAATGCCTTTTTTAAGCCTGAATTTACTGTTTTAAAACATTGATTGGAATATCTCAAGCAATATATAAAGTGAAATGCCTTTTTTTAAGTCTGAATTTACTGAATGTCTTTGCGTTACATGACCTCCTCAAACGAATGTCTTTGCATTACATAACCTCTTTAAACGAACGATGGATAAATTATAACCATTAAGAAAGCAGGCTAACATATCTGAATTGACAGCAAACAAATAATCTAGTTGATGCCTGTTTTTTTCAGTTTTGGATCACGTCGATAGGGTTTGTGCTAGGAGCATGCCTCTACGGTCCAATAGCAATTTTTGGAGTTGTAGCCACGGAGTCAGCTCCCTCCCATCTGAGTGGAAGTTGTCATGCTATAGTCGCTTTGGCTGCCAATGGTGAGTATAATGCTACGTCATGACGTCATGTCAATAACCCAACTTCTACTGTTCACAGCTATGATAAGGTTTGTATAGCAAATCGGCAAGTGGTGTAAAAATTGGCAGGGAGTGTGTCGAGCTGCGGATCTAAAGGCCCAAGACTAGAGCCATGATATCTGACTGGCACACTTTCAGGTATGGAGAATTTACGATTGGGACAGTTAATCCTGCTATTTCGCTTAAGAGTAGTCTTATAAGCGGAGGGCACTGTTGACTTGTTGTCCTCTCAGACCAGGAGTTTTAAATTAGATATGACTCTCTATGTTGAAAATAAAAGTAATATTAGCGATTGAATATCTTTATCTTGTGTTAACACTACATTCTTACACCGATAATTGTAGGTTTCCAATTCGAGAAAATGGACAGTTATACAGTGAACTCAACACGATATTAACAATAGTATGACCTTTGAGTGACTTAAACACAGTGTTTTAACTAGCCAATTCTATCGGTCAGCGTTTAAAATGCCTAAATTTGATGATTACACATATTTTAATATCATTTCAGCCTTCAAATATACATCGTGAATGAACATTTAGCAGGTTTCATTGTTCTAAAATGGATCTTTGACTTCAAGAAAAAATTATGTACGTGTCTACTTTCTTGCAATTGGTTAATACAGCTCTTTAGATTCATTTATAAGATGTGTTATTACAGTTGGGGCAATAACGTCTGGCTTACCATTCAGCTACATTGCTAAGCATTACAATTGGGCAGCCATCTTTCTTCTGTTGGAAATCATTTCTGGTGTCACAGCAGCCATCATGTTTGTCACGAGGAATCTCAACTCAGCTATTGGTCACGTGAAGCGAGACTGAGGCAACTTGTGGGGACTAGGAAGAGATCGGAATACCTTGTGGGGGACTTAGGACTAGAATTTTAATTTTTGCAGTTAAGGAGGATGCGACAAATGATTGAGAGCAATAATAATTTAATATAAAACTTAATACAGATTTCAAGCTCAGTTATAAAGTAACTTTGTTTTAGTCTAAATGTACTGCTTATAAAAATTTGCTGCCATATCTCGAGTAATGTATAAAATGAAATGCCATTTTTTAAGCCTGAATTTACTGGAATATAACATTGACTGGTATATCTCGAGCAATATATATATATATATAAATAAAATGGTTGTTAAGCCTAAATTTACTGTTTTAAAATACCTACTTGCATATCTTGAGCAATGTGTAAAATGAAGTATCTTTTTTAAAGTCTGAATTTATTGTTTTAAAACATTGATTGGGATATCTCAAACAATACGTTTGAGGAGGTTATGTAACGCAAAGACATTCATTTGAGGAGGTTATGTAATGCAAAGACATTCGTTTGAAGAGGTTATGTAATACAAAGACATTCGTTTGAGGAGGTTATGTAATGCAAAGACATTCGTTTGAGGAGGTTATGTAATGCAAAGACATTCGTTTGAGAGGTTATGTAATGCAAAGACATTCGTTTGAGGAGGTTATGTAACGCAAAGACATTCGTTTGAGGAGGTTATGTAATGCAAAGACATTCGTTTGAGAAGGTTATGTAACGCAAAGACATTCGTTTGAGGAGGTTATGTAA